TCTTCTTTTTTCAACAGCTTGTTCCGCCGCCACGTCCACACTCCCAGGGCCGTCAAAAAGACCAGGCCTCCAATGGCTCCACCTAATACGGCATCTAGAAAGTTGCCCGCCGTTCCTTGGGCTGCTGCTCCACAGGGATAGGCATCGTACTTGTAATCCCCAATCGTTTCGTCCCAAATGCCACCAATTTCGGAACATTGAATATTCAAACACGAGTAGGTATTCTCCAAGGCTTGTTGGACGGCCCCAAAATTTACGTCGGCAGTATTCTTGGATTTTAATTCCTGGTACAAAACAGCAGCATCTGGAGGACTGCAGTCGTGCACCAAGGGAAGTATCGAAAGCGCGTACAAGGATGCTTGGGAACCATGCTTTTCATTGAAATAGGTTTCGTGCGCAATGATGTGAGCATACCGCAAGGTGGCTTGCACTAACGGAATGGTCATGAGACGGATAATCTCTTGTTTGTTCTGGGCAGCTTGTTCGCACCGATTGTGCAGCAAACTGTATTGGCCGTCGGCAAAGTGGGCAAACACTTGCAAATTGACGTAGGATTGGCCCGTGCGGCTGTCACTCGAGGCACCGCAGGTATTAAATTCTTGACACCGCAAATCGGCTTGGTGCAACATCAAATCTCCATTATTGCTACTATTGTCCCCTTCATTCATACCCCGAGATCCCGTGTACATGGCAACGGCTTCGTCCCAAAAGTGTACCGCCTGTAGAAATTCTCCCTTTTCACAGTCTGCCACGGCTTGTTCCAGTTGGCGAATGGTGTACATCCAAATGCTAAGATAGGAAATGGCCTTGGAAATGAACTCTATTAGAAACAAATATCAATGAATGAATGAATGAATAAATGAACGGACAATAACAGTGAGGAATGAATGAATGAATGCATGAATGCATGGTCCTTATTGGAAATCCCAAAACATCAACGACTCGTCTTCGTACCTTTCAATCCATATTTGGAGTAGTATCCCAAATCCATATTGCCATTGTCCAACTCCATTTCTTGTCCACGAAAGGCATCCTGGATGATGCGATCGGCATAGTCGAATTCGCCAAAGTAATTGTAATATTTGGAAAAGGTTCGAAACGGGCAGTGACTGCAACTCCACATGCGAGACTTGGCATGTGTGCTCAATTCGAGGAGAGTGTGATCATTGTGATTGGATTCTGAAACATTGTAAGTATACTGGAAACTTTGGTCGTCGTCAATAGTAATGTTACCCTCAAATTGCAAGCCTGAAAGAGTATTGGATGGAAAATGATGGTGAGTATAGAATAAACTGAGAATACCACTACGTCCTTCAGCAGAAATCAGGATGTCCTATCTGCGACTGGTTACTTACATCCATCGACGATCGGAGACGGATTCCCCCCTACACTGCAATGCGTATGGCCAGTCTCCGTGATATCATTGTCGTATACTATCCGAATGATAGTCTCGTTCACACCCACATTTCCAATTGTTTCCCCCACGATTTCCGATCCATCCATTGCGATTCCCACCACTGTTTTCCCCGAGGATATGGAGTCTTGGAGTGGTTTTATCAGCGTAACTGTAGCAATTGGTTTACTAAAGGCACCTTGGTGGTAAATGGCCATGGCGTTGGTCCATCCTTCGTCGTCCAGTTTCCCCAACTCATTTTTGATGGCATGAACATCCAAATCGACGGCAGCCTTATATTATGAAAGGGACAAGAAGAAACATATGATGGGTGAGCAATTATCATGGTCCTTTTTTTGTCACGGCTTCTCTCTTAGTTTTGCTAACTTACGGCATCTGCCACTTCCGACCTTGGAATATATGTGCGAATGGATTCCACGAGGTTCCGTCGTCTGCGAGTTGATTTCTTGTCGTTATTGATCATGGTGGTGCCTTCACCATGATTCGAATGGCCGGTGCAAACAGGGATAAGTAAAAGACCCAGCAATGGAGACTTCATGTTAATGGTGATTCTTCTGAGAGTCTTGATGCGCTCATTGTCGATAGCAGGTCGTCGGTGGGAAAGGCAACAACAGCACCAAGGCGCACCTGCATTATACAGTACCGGTAGATGGTATCATGTTTTGTATCCGTTGGACAATACCAGTCATATGGGTCGAACATCCGCCATTTGAATTCCATCCCGTCGCGCGCCTCATCAGCCCGTCTAAATCCCGCCCATCATGCCCGTCCCACATGCGTACGTGTACGGCATCTCAATTTCGAATTTGTGATGGGTGATGTTCATCCATCAACACTGATCATAGCACGCACTCCCACATAATCATTTTCTCTTCAGCAACGATTGGAAGGAAACCATATCGATTCACCAAATAGATTAAAACCTTGAGCCCCTACTGATCTACTTTCGATCAATTTGGATGTGATGAGAATACGAGACGTATGTCCAGCCTTACTTCTATCGTCATTATGGCTGCCGATCATTGAAATATCAGCATTTTCAACAGCTGCGCCGCCAACGAGAAGAAGAACTGGTACCTCCTTGGCTTCCATCTCTAATGACGAACAAGAGTCTGTAAACAACAATCTTGTTCACGTCTATGAAAATGCCTTCAGCCTAGAATCTTGCGGAATGCTTCACTACCTCGCAGACGAACACTATGAACGAACGAATGATGGTAGCAGTTTCTTCACTCGCCCTCCACACAATGAGAAACCACTTACCCCCATCGAACATGCCATCGACTCTGCTTTGATTGAATTGGGCGATAATACCAAACGAGTTGAGTACTGGTCACGAGACGAGTACATGAACATTGATGCTCATGCTGATATTGACGAAGCAATGCTAGAAGACGAAGGTGAAGTGAGATGTCCCCTGGTAGGGCATGTTCTGTACCTTATAGTAAAACCAGGTCTACACGGTCCTACTTGCGTCTTTCCCAAAGAGCAAAACGGTTGGGGGCTAACAGAAGACAACGGTGAAGGAAGAGAAAAGGACTTGGTGGTGGTTCCTGCCGTGGAGGGTCGGCTGCTGAGATTTCCAGGAAATGCGATGCACGCCGTTCCAAATCCGCCAGATCGATGGCTACTAAGTTTGGAAGACGAAAAGGCACTAAGGACTGAGGAAGAGGACTGCGAAAAGGAAGAAAGCGAGACCGAAGACGACGAGGAATGGGACGAAGAAGATGATGATGCTGACGACGAAGAGGATGAAGAGATTGAACGATCAGTTCTGCTCTTCAATACATGGCCGGATGATCAACCGGGACCTCGCGGAGTTAATGGAGATATAGCGACCGGTGCTTTGCCAGAAGGTATTGAGATCAGCGAAGAGGACGCGGCAGCGTACTTGAAATCTCATGAGGCCGAAATTCTCAGAGAATGGGAAGAGGAGTTTGGACGGAATGGCGAAGAGCTTCGGTGCAATCCTTTTAGTGAGTGGTCGCCGCTCGATATCGAAAGTGTCAATAGTGAAAATAAGGACCCCAATGGCATCAATGTGTCATTAATGGGAAGAAAGAACAGAAGGTTGTATCCTAAAAAGTATGCTGAATTGAAGGGACCTCGCGAAGAGATGAGGGAAGCCTTGAAGCAAGACACCAGAGTCAGTGCAATATCATTGCGAGTAGAATAGAATCATAAATGAACATCTGAGAATTTCCCAACTGGCTTTCATCCTACAAAAAATATCTATTACACTTTATAAAATTGGAGACCTGTAACTCTACGGGGCCTTTGTCCCTTCGCACAAAAACTCCATGTCTATGTAATGACCTTGTCACTATCACCTCCAATTGGGATATCTTCCATATCACCCTCTTCAAGAGATTCAATTGTTTTCGCCCGTGTGTTCTTCGTGCGTCTCATGCGAAGGAATACCAAACCCATTATCGAAAGGAGCACCAGTCCTCCTGCCGAACCGCCAATGACCATCCAGAAAGCCGTGTCGTCCCGCAGTCCGCATGGGAAAGCATCATACTTGTAATCATTGATGCTCTTCTCCCAGATACCTCCAATCTCGTAACACTTAATATTCAAACATTCGTATGTCCCCTCGAATGCTTGTTTGACAGCAGTGTAGTCCACGTTGGCGGTATTCTTCGATTTCAAGTTTTGATAAATGATTTCTGCATTCTTTGGGTTACAGTCATGGACGAATGGGAGAGTGGCCAAGGCGTAGAGCGTAGCTTCTGCACCGTGCTTCTCGTAGAACTTATCTTCGTGTGCAATGATATGAGAGTATCGAAGATTTCCTTGAATCAAAGGGATGAGCATCATTGTGACGATGCGCTCTTTGTTCTTTCTGGCTAGCTTGCATTTTCCATTTACAATGTTAAGTTGCCCTTCATTGAAATGTTTGAATGCTTCAATGTTTACATATGGTTCTTCATCTCGTTGGTCGGCATTTGGTCCGCAAGTCATAAATTCGTCGCATCGCAACATTGCTTGATGCCAAATCAAGTTGCCATCTCTGTTTGGAATAAGACTTCGCGACCCCGTGTAAAACGCAACCGCTTCATCCCAGTAATGAACGCCCTCATCTAATTTGGACTCCTCGCACTCGGCAAGGGCATGCTCCATCTGTCGGATAGTCCACATCCAAATGTTCAAATATGACATACCCTTGTGTAGAAATTCTGTAAGAGCGTATTCTGTGTAGTACCCGAAGTCCATATTTCCATGCTTCAAGTAGGTTTGCTCCCCACGAAAGGCGTGTGTGAGAATTCGGTCCGCATAGTTGAATTCTCCAAAGTAGTTGTAGAACATTTGATACTCGGGGAATGGGCAGTTGTCGCATTTCCACATTTTCTCCTCTGCGTCAATACTCATGTGTGCAATAGTACGCTCATTGACGTTGTGCTTGTAAATGTCATAATCATAGGGTAGAACAGCGCCATTCACTGTCAAGTTTCCAGTGGAATTGAAGCATCCACCGACATTTGGAGCAGGGTTTCCGCCAACCTGGCAGTTAACATAATTTGCTTGAACTTCACTGATATCGTATTGAATCATCAATTCTCTTTCATCAACCTTTGCTTCCTTGAATAGCGTTCCAGAGACTGGGAATCCACTAGTGTCAACTCCTTTTACTGTAGTTTTAGCAGGGAGATCATCTTCTAGAGGCGAATTGAGCAAAATTTTGGCAACTGGTTTACTGAATGCACCTTCGCGGTAGATTTTTTCTGCGTTGGTCCATCCACGTTGTGTCTCCTTCTTCAATTCAAGATGAATCACGTGGAGGTCTTGATCGATTGCCGCCTGAGATTGCAAAATAAGGGTTGAGCTCATCTTGTCTAAAGATCTACGGGTTGAATCAGAAGCCGTTTTCATTTCCTTTCAACTTACAGAGTCTGTTACCAACGACATCGGTGTGTATGAATGAATGCTCTCATATCCACCGCAAAAGCTCAGGAGGTGGAAAATTGACAAAGCTGATGCCAAGATCTTCATGATTGTTGATGGATGTGGTGTGGTGATTAAATTGTAATGCACCTTTGCTGAAGAAGCTCGAGGTTGTCGGAAGCCTGATTTTATTGTGCCAGACAATCGTGCCTCCTAAATAAGCTGTTTTGCTCGTGTTTCATAACGAAAATAGATATGTGAAGAATCCGGCCCGCCACGATATTTATGTGGAATCTTAGTCGAAGCACTAGAATGACACGTGCAGATGTCATTCCCACCGATGTAAAATTAGCGACCAACGACCAAGATTCAACAAACGGAAGACAAAGTGTGCAAGATGAGAATTTTGGCAAGCAGTGACTAGATATCGAGCGTTACATGATCCCACCACAATGATGAAATAAGCAATCTACTTTTGAGCCTTCTTCTTTGCTCGCTTCCAACTTCGAAATGTCTCGAGGTCGTACTTAGCCTTGGCCTCCCTCATGTCCAAGTCCAATTCTTCTTTGGTGAACTGAATCCGTTGAGCAGCTTCTTCATCCCATAGCTCCTCAATCACGGAAAGGCGGTGTTCTGGAGAGATGTCGTTCGGTTCATTGGTTATCGATAGTTGAAGAGATACTGCATCGATCAACACTTTTTCCACTTGAACGGATAGTGCTTCCGCCCTAGGCAACATGAGTTGTTTTGCGCTCATGAGCTCTTCCGGATCAATCCAAAGAAACGAGGATGAGTCTTGAAGCAATTGAATATGCCGCAGCAGATCTTTGTGGTGCCACTGTAACAAAGCAACGATCTTCTCGATCTCTTTTCGAAGGTCTTCAATGACTGTCAAATCAGCTTCCCGAGCTCCATAGTCACCTGAGATATCCCCAGATGTCTTTCGTATCGAAGTTTGTATTTCTTTGCGAAGATTCTCAAGCAAGTAACGAAACTGCTGCATATCAGTACCAGGGGTCAAATTTTCCAGCAACCATTCCGTCACGCTCTTTTTCTCTTCTGGAAGTTGCCACATGCAATGTTGGAGCAAAAGACAATCCACCGTGTCAACGTTTTGGCGTCCATGTGACGCTGCACTGAGTCTAAGGAGTTGTGCAGCCTTCAGTAGCCTTCTATCACTGATCTGAACTGATAGTTCGTCCCTCAAATATGTTCTCAGACCCACAATGACACGGCAAACATGATCTTCCATCGCCACTAAATTTGCAGCAGTTGATAGCTTGTCTGTGATTTCTTGCAGGTCATTTGAAATCAAAACATCGCAAGAGGACTGGTCATTGGAATCACAAGGCGCTGTACCAGCTGGGTTTCGCAATGAAAGCAATGTCATCACGCCTTCGTCTGATACGGGTGTCACTTCCTTCCGGATGAGAAATCGATCATACAAAGCAACAAGCTCGTCGCTTTCGGGCAATTCATTAGATGCGCCAACAACACACCGTATAGGGCAATCTTCTTGGCCGCCAGCATTGTCAAATTTTCGTTCATTTAGAATGGTCAATAGAGTGTTGAGGATGGCGCTATTGGCCTTGAAAATCTCGTCCAAAAATGCAACTGTAGCAGTCGGAAGAAATCCAGCTGTACATCGACGGTACTCGTCGTTCTCTAGTGCTTGCAAAGACAAAGGACCAAACAATTCATCCGGCGTGGTGAATCGAGTCAGCAGTCGCTGAAAGAATCTTCCATTACAGAGTCGAGCCAGGCGACGACCAAGGACACTCTTCCCCGTTCCAGGGACTCCAAGAAGTAATATGTGCTCGTCTGCAAGCATAGATAGAACCACTAGGCGACTTTCATCCTGTCTTTCGACTAAACCCTCGCCTATCATGTCGATTGCGGCTTGAAGCTTAGGTTGATATCTCCAGCATGATTGCTCGTCATTTCTCTCTGCTACCAGTTGCTCTTCATTCCATCGCTTTGAATTCACAAATGATTTAGCCTGGTCATTGAGGATCTGAACAGCTTTGTTCACTTCATCCAAATAGGCCTGCCCTGAATCTAGAGATGCGTTTGGGCTTTTTGTCGACAACACTTCAGTTTCTTTGTCGTCCCATCCATTGACGTAGTCTTCATCGTCATCATCAAACTCTCCCTTTCGCTTTTTTGTCCTCCGTCCTCCGTCGTCGTCATACGATGGCCTCTTTGCTGCAATTGCTCCTCCTCTTCTCTGTGTTCTCCTCGAATTGAAGAAGTTCCTCGTTCTTCCTGATCGCCCTATACTCGACGAATGAAAGGGAGTAGAATAGAGTTCAACATCACGTGGATGAGAGCCTCCGAGTAGTCCCATCGATTCGTATTCAAACAAAAAGTCATAAGTCTCTGAGCAAATCTTTGAAAGTGGTATGCTCTCTTGTTTGCCAACGAGTAGGCCATGAACTTGAACCCCTCTCCGTACTGTAAGGCTTTCAAGCTGAGTCATAAGCTCTAAGGGGATGGGAGGATCTGGGATCTCACCATCTGAAATGAGCACAATGTCAGCATCTGCCATTTCATCGTTGTCAAGGGTTTTCATGACGTGTTTTAAAGCGCCAGTAACGTCGGTCCCTCCTCCAAAGCTATGTGATAAAAACTCCAATAAACGATGGATTCCCGTAGGATCAGCGGTTATTTCTCCTGATTCCATGACATCCCGCTCGTTGGAAAAGGCGACAACTTGGCACCTCCGTCCCTGCTTGTGCGCTTGTGATACGCAAGCCAAGACAACTGCTTTTGAAAGAATTTCTCTTCTTCCCTCCATGGAATACGATGTATCCAAACACAGAGTTATTGGTCCTCCAGGTGCACTAGGCAATCGCTTGGTATAGATTGGCCTTGTTTGCGGAATGCTTGGAATGTCAGCCCAGCCAGACATTTGGTAACTCAACAATTTTGACTGAACCTTCTTGGCCAAGAACAGCCGTCTCAAGACTGGATGTGACCCTCGAAGTAGCATCGCTTCAGAAGGCAGCATCTCCGAAAAGCTATCAGAATACGTTAATCCGTTCATAAAATCTTTCTCTATAGGATCAAATTGTGCCCCCATCGAACCGTCCGCCTTTGGCTTCCTTGGAGAAAAAAGTTGCATCTTGTCGCTGTTTTCAACCGTTGGTCTTCTTCCAATCACTTTCAAGAAATCCAAAAGCTCAGGCATGTTCGAGATCTCAGCTTGCAACTGCTGTACCACTTGCCATCCAGTATTCTGCCAGATACCGTCTTGTAATCCAAAACTGTTCGCTGAGCCTAAATCCGAGGTTGTACTGACACTAAGAAGGCCGTGATCGAAGCCAAAAAGTTGGTCCAAGATACTAACTCCACCAATAACACCACTCCATTCATCGGAAAGCAGATTCGAAATTTCCTCTGCGATTTCATCCAAATCGACTCTAGCATCTTCAAAAGAAAAAGTGTCAATTGCATTCTCTTCCTCGGTGTTGTCACTCTGGTAGCCGTCGCTGCTTTCTGACATCTCCTCGCTTGTGTCTTCTTCGACGCGATTTAGACTGTGAGTCGTTTCCATGTATTGGATTGTGATTCGAATCAAAGAGATGAGGATGGAAGTAATCGTTTCAGGATGTCGCAACGCAAATCGAGGAAGTTCCAGGTCCAACAATTTCTGACAAACTGCCGAGTAGAGTGGCTCCGCAGGCCACGGCTCGTTGATTATTGAGAAGTCATAATCTGTGGGTGCCCGACCTTTTGCCAAGGCATGACGCCATATCTGTACCCCATTCGAGGCCGTAGTTAACCCACCAACGTGAATCGAAGCGGTGGAAGATGCTAGCAATGATTGCGTCAGGAGCTGGTCGATTCCAGAAGATGCTTGTTGGACTGGAGCTCCATTCACTGGATTGGGAGACGAGAATGCTTCAACTAGGACACAATATCCTATTGTAGAAAGGACAAGGATGAAATTGGATATCATCTCGTCACCGCCATGGGTGACTTTGTGTCTCTTGTTGCCTGGTTGGATGGTTGATGGATATTTTGACTTCGAACTTCTTCTTTTTATGAGGATGACATCAGACTTAGTCAATCATCCCCTGATATGGTACGCATAACCCCCTACCCCCAAAATGGAAAGACCGTTTTTTGTTGTGCCGTTTGCCTGATGGAGAGCGTGCCGTGCCTGCCGTTGTCAACCTCACCACAAAATCCGCTTTCAAAATACAACTCCTAGCCGCAATCATCGATATCTGCCGAATACACCATGAAGGCAACTTTGCAATTCACGATTATCGCCTTTCTGGTGCCATATGTATCTTCAGCTGAATTTTTTGTGGGCTACGAGGCCCAAACAAGAGTTACAGACCATGCTGCGATAGACATTGATCAACAGAAGATCGACTTGATGTTGGCACTTGGTCGTCTCGAGAACGTCAAGAAAATTTACGAGCAAGGTGGAAACTCCCAAAGTATTGCTAGAGTCAATATTATTGACTCGAATATAGATGTAAATACTGTAGCCATTCCTTCAGGAACTGAGGTGGTTGGAAAGAGTGTCTTGGGTAACCAAGTCTATGGAACTCTTCTCCTTGGCTTGGGTCCCAACGATGACGAAGCTTTGATTCAATATCCTCCCAAGACGATGGAATCTAATCGCAACTGTCAAGTTGGAGGTCTAGTTTCGATGGATTTGGAAATGACAGATGGCTGTTTTGCTGATTCTGGAGAACTTAGGGTGTTGGATTCCGACATACATTTCGAATATTCATACAATAGTCAATTTGACAATTTCAATGGACGCACAATCCAAAGGTTCAGTTTGTTTGCCGAAGAGGAAATGGCGGCATGCGGGAAGAACTGTCCGTACAATGATTTTGCCAAATTCGTCAACTACTATGGTGAATATGATTACGCGGACAAGTGGATCCAAGCTGCTTTCTTTGAGAAAAGCACTTCCTTTGATCGCGGAAATATTGATTTTTCGGAAGTTGGAAAGAAAGCCCTGGAGCGTAAGTGAATCAATAATGGTTCTTCGACGGTAATAGGTCGAAACAGATTCTTATCATATTCGTTTCTTCTCTTTCAGCTGCCGTGCAAATCGCCACAAAATTCATGAACATTTGGATGTATACCATTCGGATGATGGAAAGTGCCCTAGATACTTGTGAAGTACCTTGCAATGATGATGGATGTAAATATGATGCGGTTCATAATTGGGACCAGGCCGTCGCATTTCACGCCGGTAGTCTCCAAGATGAGGGAATCCTCTTGTACGCATTCGCAGATGTCATGTGCCGGACATTTCGTTCTTGTGGCATTGATGGTTCCATGCGTGTTGGGACCTCCTTCGCAAACAACAAGGCTATCCATCATTTCAAACTAGGTCAATCGTACATTCTCCAAAAAGATTGCAAGAATGCAAGAATATCCAAAGAGGAGATTGTCAAAGCCATGACGATTCCACTTATCCAGGCAACTCTATTCACTGCATATGCTGAAGGAAGAGACAGCGGTAAATTGAGCAGCGGAGATCAGGCAACCAAGAAAGTCCGCGCTGCTTCTTTCGCTGCATCTGTTCTTCCGATCGTTCATCATTGTAGTGAAGGTGATGCGAGCATCATTTACGAAAATCTTGGTATCGAGAATGGTGATGATGTTCACAAGGAGATTGACTTTCCTGCTGTCAAGGAAGCCTTTGAAAGAAACTACCAGTGCATGGGGGTCACTTGCAAAGGAGTTGGCGGTATCTGGGAGGATGGAGCGTACGCAAAACATGCAGCTCCCTGCCAATATGAACCTGTAGATGAAACTGCACGATCAGGAATCTTGTTTGGGCACTTCTTGGCGATACTTTTGATGCCTCTTGCCATTCTAGGTTCGGTGGTGGCAATGCGCGCTAGCAGAAAAAGGCGCACGCTAAAGGCAGCAGAGGAGAACAGACAAACAGTTACTGGTATTCTAGATGACATTGGATTGGAGGATGTCCAATTGGATGGTGAACAGCAGGATACTCCTTCATTGCCATCTATCGCTTAAAAAACAGTTTGATCCTTGGAGAAGAGGGACATGTAGATTGTACCATTAGACATGAAGTTTATCAATAATAAATAACTTTTCTATTTTCATTGCCATATTGTCTGCAAAGGATAGTCCCCGTAAGCAGTTTTCATTTTTTAATCATTTTACCATTGTCCATTGTGACCGTAGTGCGTCCTTTCACCGGTCGCATTTTTTTTAAAAATCATTGCACGCGGATCGTGTTCAACTTTTTTCAAACACACATCGTCAAGACGAAAGACAAAGTCAAAGAAGAAAGAAGCAAAGATGGACGACCAGAATATATTCAGGGATCGACTACCACTGCACACAACTCACCAACGAGTCGTGAATCGCAGCAGAGATAACTCACCGACACCTTCGAAAAGGGATGATGCAACTTCACCGTGTCGACGAGTGATTGGTAGTGACGCCACAGCCTACCACACACAATCACAACAGTTCTTGCTGGCACTCAATATTGCAGGGATGGCTTCCTTTCTGCTGATCACAGTCTTTGATTTGTTTCATGTCGACGTCTTTCTACGAGCCTACCGGCTGCCGCTGGAGACCTTTTCCACGGGGAACCTGATATTTTCCTTGATCAATACCACCACTGTGTTTTTGGGTGCCTGGTTGTTGGACTCGTTGGCAAGCCGAGGAAGACGGAGTGATTTGATTGGTGTGTCAGGAATCTTGTTTGCCTTGGCCTTTTTGGCTCCATTTTTTCGTTGGAAGGAGCCCTTGACTCGGTTTTGGGATGGAGCCCATTTTGTCTTATCCATTTCACTCTACGACACGATATCTGGGTTCAACAAAGTGTTGCTCGGATCCTTGGTGACGGACAATCATCTCATGACAGACAAGGAGCGGATATGGTTCATGGCTTCGAGCCAGGTTGCCAATTTGACGGTGGGATTGTTTGTCGCTCGCATTGGATTGGAAGTATTCGACGAGGAAAATATGCATCGCTTTCAGAGATTCTTAAAGTTCTTGGCGAGCGTCTCAGCATTAATGTTCTGCACCTCGCAAGTCTTGGCCAAGCATGCCATTCGTTCCGAGCGCAAAAAAGCCGAACGCAGAAAAGAAAAGGATGAAGATGATACCACCACGGAACCTGTCCTAATGTTTTCGGGTCCGTTTTCCGGTCCAAGACCGAAGCAACTCAAGCTGAGGCAAGCTATCACAGATCTTTGGAATCACAAGAACTTTTGGTCCTGGATCAAGATGGAACTACTTTTGGAAAGTCAGGTGGGCTTTGTCAATGCCTTCTTAAAGACCTTTATAGATCGGCTAGTATTTGACGCTGGAATGTCCAGAGACTATTGCGATTGGATTTTGTCCGCCATTCCACCTGCTGGACTCATCTGTGGTGTCTTGACCTACATTCCAATCCGAACCTTTGGTTACCATAGGGTCTATCCAATTCTGTTTGCTGCAAATATTGGACTATGTTGTGGCATGCTCCTGCTAGCAGATCATCAATCGACAGACCATATCATTTTCTTCCTGTTGGTATATCCAACAATCACTGGTGCTGTGCAGTCGGCTGGTTTCCATTTAGTCATGTCGGATATGGTCCTCGAAATGAAGAGAGTCCATGCATCAGAACAACGGTTCGATCAACCCTCTTTGGCTGGTCTCTTCATGGGTGTCAATGCTCTCTTTTGCAAACCGGCCGCCTACATGTTACCAATCATTGCTGCGTCCAGTTTGGGTGATTCCGAAATTTCCTTGGAAGAATCCGAGCATGGATCCGATCATGTGCGAGAGATTCTCTTTCGATTGCTGATATGGCCACCCTTGATGTTTTCGATTTTGCAATGGATCGCTTGGAGATCCTTTACTTTGAATCCCGCAAAGACGAAACAAATCAGAGATGAATTGATTCGCACTGTGAGCGATCGAACCAAACTGGGTATCAACGCATCATCGTCATCGCGCTAGCTACCTAGAAGAATCGACATTGTTCGCTTCGCACCATGGCGGTGGATAATTCAAACTTGTTTTTCCAAACATGATAAAGTTGGAGGGCACCCCGAGCCTCCTCCTTTTCCAACAGTTTCAAAGCTTTGCAACAATTGTCACAAAGTCCTTTGGGATCTCCATCTTGATACTTTTGTGCTGGCGTCCCTCTATGAAAGTACACATAGACTGCCGCAAACCGATCACAAGCCTCACAAATGGGGACCGGATAGTTGGGCACCCAAATGTCATGAATGATTGGATATTGTTGCGGTGTCTTGTTATTGGGAATATTAGTGTTGGCTCCTGCTGATGGCTCTGATACGAGACGCTTGTCGGTCACCATTACCGAACACTCGACATCCCCATGCATGACATGATAATATCGCACACCCAATCGAAATGGAATGTCTTTCAAAATGGCGTCTTTCATGGGGGTACTACTCCGAAATCGATTGCTCGTGGCGATTCCTAGGTACTGTCGCCGCGTAGGATTGGGAATTCCACCACCATCGAGCCATTGGGCGATTGTGGTCACGTAATCCATTCCAGCATCATTGCTACTAGCGGTAGCACTAGCATTATTATAAGCTGTACCATCACCAGTATTGTCACCGTTGTTGTCATCATTTTCTGCAAGAGCCGCGACACTTGTCGCCGCTGGCGTACCATTTTCATCTGGACGATTGGTCGTATTGGCGGCAGCAGCACCGCCAACAGTACTGTTTGCCGTTGTCATTGCAGCGTTCTGAGTATTCTCATCGTTGTTAGCTCGGCGTTCATCATCGTCTTTTTCTCTTCCATTGGTTGTATAAAAGGTCTCTTCAATGAAAAAGCAGCCTGCATCATTAGTATCATCCTTTTGAGATGCTGTCCAATCATCATCCTCCGTCATGCCTACAATGGCATGATGGACATCCAACAAGGTTTGCGACGACAGAAACTCCAAGACCATTCGCCGAGGATCCGGACCCGGGCCTCGCTTTGGTTGTCGCCGCCAAAATTCGAACCGAATGGTCCCCACCATTTTGTTGTTGTTGTTATTATTATCATCGTCAAGACAAGTTGTTGTTGTTGTTGTTGTTGTTATGGGCGGTGGAGGCAATCCGTGCCGATGGGACATGCGCAATCGACAAAGTGCATGGGCATCCATCCTATGAACCAATTGGTTGCCCTTTTGCATTTCGGAATGTACTGCCAAAGAATTGGGAATTTGCGCATTGGCTCTGGATTCGTCCAATAAATCTTCCAGAGTTGGAATTTGTTGAAACAACTTCCACAATTCTTGGTGATAGGAATAATGTTGGGTCGGATTGAGCAAATCAATGACCTTGTCGTGTTTGTCGTTTGGACTAGGCGATGGAGGACGATCGTTGGAAGTAGTGTAGTCAAAATTTGGTGGCAATGTCAATAGTTGCTCTTGCGTATGTTCCCAGCCTCCTCGACGATATTTTCGTTTGGGTGGTGGCGGTGGCATTTCCTTGGAATCAGTGTTATTATTATCGTTTTGATCGTTGTCGATGAGAATACGACGAGCGTCCAAGGCTCTCCACTTGGCGGTAAATTCTTCCAGCACCCCATCGACTAAAGTTTTTGTAGTGGGAGCCTCCATCCCTTGGCAATCAAAAAATCCGTTGTTGCTATTGTTGTGGTTGTTATCGGCTTGAGGATCGTCGTCGTCGTCGTCGTTCTTGTTGTTGCCCATTGGCATTGACATTGGCATTGACATTGGAAGGTGGTGTTTGGTTCCAAACTGTGACAATGTCAACAGTTGTTTCCATTTTTCTTCCGATTCCTGGCAAGTGTGTCTTCTCTTCATGTCCGACTTTATAGTGTCTCATGGAAGGAAGCAATAACTAGGAAGTAGAAGCAGAAGCAGAACAATCGAGGAACGAATGGATGCACAGATGAGGCAATATTATGGATTTTGATGGTGTTATTTTCTGGAAGGATTTCAGTCACGAATGCGAATGAGTCACAGATCCTTTCGCATCGAAATCGTCCTCTCAAACAAAACAATTCATTCTTCATCATCGTACCGGTACAACAGTGTCCATTGTAGAGACAAGCTCCCCTTTACAACAACAATACAGCACAAACAAACATGACAACTGCTACCGCCAAGATTCGCGGCATGGACTGTCACGTCAATCAATGGAACCTCGATCCATCCAAACCACCCAAAGCCTTGATGATCATTTTCCATGGGTTCCTTGCACACGGCAATTATCCTACGGTTCGCTACGCCGCCGAGTTTTTATCCGAGGAAGGGTATGCTGCCATCTCGGTAGATTTCCCGGGTCATGGCAAGTCTCCTGGAGACCGTGGATTGATTGAATCGGCCGAAATTTTGGTACAGGATGGCAAGGCCATGGTCGACTATGCGACTGGTTTGTTTTCTGACGCTGCAACAAAACCCAAACTATTCTTGGTCGGTTCCTCCATGGGAGGCGCCATTGCTTTATCGGTCGCTCAAACCATGCCCAAAGATGCCATTGCCGGTGTTCTATTACTCGCACCCATGTTACAATTAAATGTTACTTCTATCGAACGATTTGCCCTATATGGACTTTCCTGTGTGGTTCCCACCATGGCCTTGATTCCTTCCTCGGCAACCGATTCCATCAAACAATACCGGGACGAACAAAAAAGAAAGGAATGTGACGAGGATCCACTGACCGTCTCGGGAGCCAAACTCAAGACGTCGAGTGCACTGGCCTGTGTCGACATTACCCACAACATTGCAGAACAATTTTCCAAGATTGAGACGCCCTATTTGATCCTGGTGGCAGACGAAGATGTGGTCGTCAAGAATGCTGGATCCGAAAAGCTGTTTGAACAAACGCCGTCTACCACGGACAAGACCAAGAAACATTATCCCGCACTCCATGGACTCTTGTGCGAGCCATCTCCGCTCTTTGATGAAATCAAAAAGGACATGTTGGATTGGATTCAAGAACGAGTGTAATTGATATTAAATAATAATATAGGACCTATATTGTATGACAACAACCTCATCAACCAACATACTTCTACCGCATCTATCGACTATTTCGAACACTACTGTACATGGTACATTCTTAGATTCTATTTTTATCATCTTAAAGTATTCCTCATATCTGTAGGTTAACATATTTTCAAACAAGAGCCAAACTGAGTCCAACTGATCCCCTCTTGGAATTTTTGAACCGATCGGTAACGGCCCATCTAAATGCTAAAAATCAAACCAAAAAGTACATATTGGGTGTTGCAATAGCCGTCATTGCATATCCAATCATATCACATAGTATCAACAATGGCATCTCAATTTGCAGCTCCACAACAAGAGGAGATCTTCCATGTTTATGGTGGGAACGACTTTCAATATTCCAATTTTGAATACAATCCCAACAACCACTACAAGGACGAACGAAATGGGCGCGCTTCGGTGCCAAATTATATGAAACCAACCCAAGCCAGTCGAAGAAGAGCCAAAAGTGCGGATGCTCGTCCACAATATCGTAATACCAGTAGTACTAGTAGTTCGAGTAAATCAAGGGCCTTGGAACAGCAAAAGTCCTATGAAGATCGACTCTTAGATGAATTGCTAGAACAACAATTTGATCTCGAACACCAGCAGGACATTGATGTGCAACGATTACCACCTCAGCAGCAAGCAACAACAACAACGACACAAACGACGACGACGTATCAAGGACCACAAATGCAACTTCCGACGCAGGATGGCGATCATTTCATGGATCCGAACCTGGAGGAGCCAACGGAACGAATACACTTTGAACGGGAAATGCACAATCCTTTCAGCAGTGGAGGCGCAAAGCGATTGGAACAACCGCTCGACCGCCAAACTCCAAAGTATTCAAAAGAAGAAACGGAGGAAGAATTTTTCAATCCTTTTGGGGGTGAATGGAGTCCAGAAGATGACAAGAGGCGATGGGACATGCCATACGAACCATCATCATCAACATACCCTGCTCCCAACAACCCAGCCACCCAACAACAAAAAGTACAAGGAACAAGGTCCTTTCCAGACACATCACCAACATATCCCACACCCACCAATAGTAGCAGTCAAACACAAAGTGTGCACGGGACCAAATCGTTTCCATCGTCTAGTAGGAAATCATCGTCTACAGCCAGTAAATCTCAAAAGTCACAACACACTGGGGGCGATTGGAGAAGCACAGTGATGAAGAGTACAATGGTGAGTACCTTTGTTTTTCTTCTTTCCGGATAATATGGCTTTCGATAGATTGTAGTTCGTCGTTCTCCTAACCTATAATACCTTTTGCGTTGCTCATTTTTCCAGGTGCTAAAACCCAAAACAAAGGCAGTTAAGGAACAAGTTAAAGCCATTACAAATAAACTATCCTCGGCAATGTCTTCGGCAAGGTCTCGATCTCAGATTCCTACTTACTCAAAGAGCTCGCAGCCAAGATCCAAAAGCCAACCTCCTCCCGCAAGAAAGAATAGAGGCCAATATGTTGCAGATTCGGGAATCATGAGAAGGCAACAACAGAACAATAACCCGATACCAACGACAAACGCAACACCAAGAAGCAAGGATGATTATGGGAGTTTTGATGTGGAATATGATTTTTATGGCGATGGTTTTGCTCAATCTAGAACCTTTTCACACGATGGATCGCAATCGGATCATGGCTTTCGTGTGATTCGACCGGAACGTCCAAGAAACCCACAAATGCAAATCAAACCGGACGCTGTGGCTCCCAGCTATACTAGCAAACGCCCGGCACCTGTTTCGTATTCGCAGTATCTAGCCACTAGCAAGATTCCAAGCACCAAAGGAGGTGCTTTCTCAAAAGTATCGCCAACCTCCGTCATGGATAGTATCCAAAATAATTCCAATGTCCACTGGAGCAATAGATTGGAACCAGCATCTACACCTCGAACAATAGAGGATAATCCCCAATCTATTCTACGAAAGAGATACCCAGGCAGTATTAATGATCATGACTATCTCATAGAACCAACGCCTGTGGACTTTCGAGATGGAAGCGGAATGTCCCTTTCTCCTATCGAAAACCGAACAAGTCCCGCCCAACCCCAGCATCAAAACATGCGAACAGCACAGCCAGCCAAAAGTGCGGATGAGTCGGACTTGATGTCTATTGCCTACAGCGAATTCATCGAATCGGTAGCCGCAGTAGTCATTCAGACAACTGTTCGAAGGTTCTTGGCTAAGCTACTTGTCGACAAACTACGAGTGCAAGTTGCAGCGGCACGAAAGTATCGATACAACCGAAAACGAATTGAAGGGAAGACAATAACACCAAGACCTGTCAAGGTTCCTAGTGTTCAAAGAACCAGCGTTCAAAGCAGAAGTCGAAATCGAGTGCAACAACTGCAACAAGAAGAAGAATCCATGGCCAATACGGGAATGGAGTATCAACTATTTGTATTTGCGGCAATACGTATCCAATCAGTCTTTCGAGGTTGGTTTGTACGAGATATCATCAAGATCGAGCACTATTGCGCAACCATCATCCAGAAGAATGCCAGAGGTCTCGTCTACCGAAATCAATACCAATATGACCTGTTCCGAATCATCATGGCGCAGTCTGTGGTCAGACGATTTCTTGTATGCCGAGATCTGTATGTTGTAGCACCAGATCCAGAAGTGCGACGAGTACTTGATTTTGCTGCGGCCATGATTCAAGCTCGCTGGCGAGGCTTTGTGGCAGAGATGAGATACTTTCAAAATTATCGAGATGTTCTCCTTGTGCAAAGTGTCGTTCGGCGTTGGCTTGCAATTCGGTTGGTCAGGGCGATTCAATCGTTGGACCAACACCAGCAGAAAAAGTCGACTGGCAACAATCGATTTGGGAAGTACGGAGCCAGACACAGCTTGGGAAATGTCCGTGTCCATGCACACGAACCAGTACCAGTAGTACCAGTACAGCCAAAATCCACAGGCACACACACATCATCCAAGTGGTCCAATACACGTAACGTGCCGTGGCAACAGCCGTCCTCCTCTTCCAATACCACCATCACTCATTCCGCATCAACGGAAGAGCGAGGGTCTACCACCAGTCAAGCAAAGCATGATGTACCGACTGGAATGGGCAGCATTGCCAAGCGTCGAGCAATGTTCGAGTCAAAGCGACTAAATACTGTCCAACAAGAGGATGCGAGTAAAGAAAAAGCGGCAGCCGCAAAGGCAGAGTTGAAGGCCATGCAACGAAAGGTTGGAGTGAGACCCAGCCCTGGAACACAAAGTATTAGTAGCCACCCACAACGAGCGAAATCCATGTCGGGAAGAATTCAGAATCCGCTAAGCAAGAAGAACTGGGGCCCGGACTTTCGTCCCAACACGAAAGTAGTAGGAAGAGTCTCTACGTTTGAATCATCATCAGGTTCTGTCGTTGCTTCTGATGTCGAAACAGAAGTACAAAGTAATCGAACTAGCACTTCCCGTCTTTTGCAAGGATGGCGCGATCGAGAAAAAAGCAACAGCTTTGATCAACGAAATTCCTTCGATATGACATCGGAACGAGCCACAACCACGGCGACGGAATACCATGGTAGAAGCAGCAATACTAGACTGTCTACAGGTACCATTGGTCTTTCGAAATACCTTGGTGGCAAAACCGAACATCAGGAGGCAGTTGCACCTTTATCGCATGGAGGTGGAATGGTCCATCGTCCTCCTAATCCCTCCCATGAGCAATGTTCAAATCCAAATTCAGATCCAGAACCCTCATTCCAGGATATTATGCGATCCAAGAGAAGTCCCAAAGAGTCTATTCGAATCCAACAGATCGAAGAGGTTTTCATCAAGGTTGGATTGATGCGCCCTGTCAATAGGCCTCTATTGAATGCAAATGTTGGCCAGCCACAACCATCCAAGGTAGAAAGGACTTATCTCTCCTCTCCGCTTCGAAAAGTAAACAATACAAAGGTGGAACAGAGTCCTAGCGGTACCCAAGCCATGAAGAATCAGTTACCATGGAGGGTTCAACCAAGTCGCAGTCTTGATTCGTCCTCACCAAAGACCGAGCGAAAGCTGTTTCATGACGAGCCCGACAGTGGCAATGACAATGGCAACTCGAGCAACGAACAAGCTCAATCACAAGCAGCTCTCAAGATTTGGAGAAACGCTAGACAGCCCCCTCATGCCAACAGCAACAGCAACAGCAATAGTAGCCGAGCACAGCAGCTTCCACCTAGACAACAACAACAACAATCGTCGGGAGTGGAACGTAGGAGTCTTGGTGGTGTTGGTGTCGGCGCAAATCCAAGTCCAGTCAATGAACGCAGCAAAAACCTGCTAAATTCGCTTGGAATCAACACATCATATACAAGCGAAGTTAGCACGGACGTTTCGGATATGGAGAATAGCCCTTCTCCAGCGTTCCTGAGACGGTTCCAAAAGGTGACACCAGATTCGCCAGTTCCAAAAACAAATCTGTTTGGCGCACCAGAAGTGCAGTCACAGAACAAGGTTGTTTCTACTGTGAATCAGAATCACCCACAAAGGCCTGTATTCTCGCAATTCCAGATTCAAAAGCAAGCAGAACGCAGCCAAGAAGATCAAATCAAGATTGATGCCATGCATGCTGTCTTTGAGAAAGTCGGCTTGATGAAAAGTGTTGCATCAATATATTTATATACTGTAGTGGACAATGAATGAAGCGGATGTACCTGGTACGATACCTACCTGCTACGGCTATCAATGCAATGCAAGCCCCAGAAAGTGATAGTATGAGCAAACGCAAAGGAGAAGAAGACGATACTGTGCATAGTATTATAGTAATTCATAGTTTCAGCACGTTTCCTCCTTCCTCAGACCTTTCAGATTGTTGTACTATGATAGCTAGAGGATTTTGTATATGAACTAATCAATGGATGACATACAAACCAAATTGGTGCAATGCAATATATATATTTTATTGATATGGTACCGGTAATTGTGATAGGACTATGTATCATCTACAGTAACAACCTACCGGTACAGTACCAGGTACAGTACAATACGATACGGTACGAGCAAGATTGATTATGAGTGAGAAAAATAAAAGTACTGCTCTAGCTCTAAGACGATCACGGGGTTCGATTCCCTTTGACCTGTGTGACTGAAATGAACGAAGCCGAGGAGATTACTATTATTGTTGTCAAAGGTAAAATTTTAGAGGTACTGTACTGTAGTCGATTGCATTGACATGATATAGGAATATATCAGCGTTGTGCAATAGTGTGATTGCCAAAATGTAGATAGCATGAATCACTCAACCAGACAAAAGTGAATGGTACTGCATACCAATGCCTCTGACCCTTAGCCAGACCCCGCAAGTAAAACTTTAGTAGCTCCACGAGGTTTCGATCCTCGGACCTTTGGGTTATGAGCCCAACACGCTCCCTCTGCGCCACAGAGCTCGTCTTCTGTTTTGTTGCGCTTCTTGCTACATCATAATCCTATCTAAATAGTGAGAATAGAGCAAAAGATTTTGTTTTGATTCATTCGAATGATTGGGTCGTCTTTTTGACTGTTATTTTGTGCGTTTTCGTTTCGTTACGCGACCATCGTCATGAGTTCGCACTATTGGATTCTCATTTCATTTTTGGATGATTTGTGCTCCTCCTCCTTCAAAACACAAACACACACACTTCTTGGTATATCAATTCAATGCAGAGGATTGTTCCACATTCAAGTCATACTATCACGAACCTTACTCTTTTGTTGCTCTAAACACTATGGAATCTTCAGGTTCGCTTCACAACAACAACATTGTTGGAACCAACAGCTCTTTTCACACCAGTCACAAAACCATCAATTTAGCCTCCGAGCCATCCAACAATAAGAAAGGGAGGCGATCCGCTTCATTTGTCAACGACAACAACAACGGCAACAAAAGCAAGAATGAACCCTCCTCTGGACGAGCAGACGTTGTCATTCTTGCCGCCAATGCTGGCCTTTCCAGTGATGCTACACAACACCAAGGCTTTGTCTCATCAATCACAGAAGAAAAGGAAGAAGAAGAAGAAGAAGAAAGGAAGCGGAATGCATTGAAAGACTCGAATGAAAGCGCCAAAACATTGGTGGAATGGAAAGGCAAACTATTCAATCCGCCAAACATGATCCTTTCACAAGATGAAAAAGAAATCCTCAAGGAAGCCAAGAGGATGGTTCGCTATAGAAAAGCCTTGGCGGATTCCAAGGGAACCAATCACAAGGACAAGATTGTATGTTTCTTTAAGATCCTGCATCGTATCTTTAAAAAGCTAATCAAGAAAGGAGCACAGTGCTATTCACCATCTACTTTGGACAAGAATAGCCCGTTGGTGGTTTACGCCTGTGTTCAACTTCGAAGCAACCAAAGGGAGCCTACGCTAATCAAAGTTGGCAAGACACTAAACTGGGAGGAACGAATGAAGCATATCTTTATTACTAATGAGACTTTTACGTTTGCAATGGCATTGGCGACACTTGACGAGATCAAAGAGCTAATTGATGCTGACGATATTCAGGAGATTGTAAATCTAAAATTTGCATCTTTTGGAACCCATACTGATCACACGCAAGTGTCAATTGATGAAATCTATCTTTACGTTTATGAGGCTTTCATGGCTTGTGCAATTCAAGGCAATGCTGTAAGGTGTATCACAGTGCATGTCCTGGAACGCTTTGTCCTTGTGCCAACCACAGGGTCTCAACTGATACAGAACGCCAAGGTCCGCAGAAACGGTGTCGTCCTCGAGAATCCAGACGAACTTGACGAAACCAATGAATTGGATACGGATTATTTCGTCGTGAATGAATTCAAGTCCTTCTTCTTTGGCAATGATGAAGTTCCAGAAGATCTCATCATCAAGTTGATTCTCACTTGGGCAACCACAAAGTCAAAGGTTTACAATATGGCTCCTGAAGAATACCTTGGAACCATCCTCAAGGATCTACCAGAAGGAGACTTTCTGAAGTTGTACTTGCTCATCAAGGGCGCCTTTTGCGGACGGAATGTCACCTACCAAGATGTCATTGAAAGACCACCTGGAATCGAGCTACTTGAAACCGTTGTCCAAGATCTTTTGGCACTTCCTCCCAATCCGCAAGGGCCACAAATTGATGCCATTTTGAATCCGATTCTAAATGGAACCTACATTCACCCCACAGGTCAAGACTTGGCGAATGCCTTTGTTGCCAAGTACGTGCAACTTGTTGCCGAAAACACGCCACATACCATTCACTATGTGGAACAGTGTCAAATTGATGCTCTGCAGACTCATTGTCCGACGTTTTTCAATCAAGAATTTGAAGAAGGCGAATCCTTTGAAGTGGAAGACTTTCTCAAAGGTTACTGGACAAAAAGGAATCTCAAATTCATCGTGACGCATTCGCATTTTGTCTCTTTTTCTCCAAACACTTCTCGAACTTCTTATACCATGGAAAGCCGTATCCACAACATGAAATCCCTCCTTGTGTTCTTGTATCTATCTTCTTCCATTGGTCTCACAAATGATAAAAATGACCCAGGTTTCCAACAGTTTGTACTAGCAATGGAAGGCTATCATATGGATCTGGAAGCCGCTTTGCAATCTCAAGGGCAAGTGTGGCCACGCTTTCGAGCTATTCAATGCCTTCCCCAAGGCTATTTGAAAGGGAGCTTTGTGCATGCTGGGGTGGTCGCAAGGAATATCCGATTTGGTCTGGAAGTCAGCGCCTTGTTGTACATTCAATTTCGAATGTTGGAGGATGGTTACTTGATAGAATTCCTCAACTTTCTTCGGGCTTGTGGAATTCATCTTGGTGACAATCGAGATCTAGATTGGAATTCTCCTTGCCCGTCCTTTCCCAATTTCGAGTGCACTGGACTGCCCCAAACTGTCAATTTTCCTCCGCGAGGTTGCCATTCGGTTGGAAGCGAAGAAGGTGATACTTTCTGCATGTATGGCGCTAGTGTCGAACCAGATGCCCTTGTATGTCCTGGTAGAATGATGTGCCGTAGCTGTCATCGCTTGATGGAAGTACGTGAAAGGGATATCTTGCGAGGCATGGTTGCACGGACAGGTTGCCAACAACGTCGATTGACCTTTCTGGAACAACGGACACGGACTGCACAACGCCACCGTCAAATGGCAAATCAAGGATCGCAGAGTTTTTTAGAAGCCGAACGATTCCGAGCTCGTCTCAACGAATCCCAGCATTATTGGGTGTCACATCGACGACGCTCGGCAATTCGCGATGCAACCCGTACTGACAATCGCTCAGGAACCCACATGGAAGACACAACAAGGACTGGACTCTTTGAATACAATGATAGCATGCAAGAGGTCCTGAAGTGGACTCTGTTGGTACTGTTTCAGCACTATCCACTGGAGATGGATAGGGGGAATGGCGGTCGGCGTGTGATCCCTAAGCAAACACTCCAAAAGTGTTTGATGGATGTGCTCCAAGTCGTAGGACCGGTATACAATCTCACTGGACCCCGCGCCGGCAACCGTATCAAGTATCGTAAACCCGGTTTCGAACGTGCCTTCAATGAAGCTCTTGATCATGTGCCAAATACCTTGACTTGGCAAGTCAAACAGCAATACCTTGCGTTTGTAACGGATGGGACAAGGCCGGACTGGTACAAGAAAAAAGTGCATCTTGAAATCATTCCTGAAGTGAAGCGCATTATTCTTCAGGATCTGAACAGATATGGAAGACCTTGACTCATCTTGTCACTTGTCACTGTCAACCTTCAACTTTGACAATTTTGGTACAGTATACGCAGTAGCACTTTCATTTTTACATTGTACTTTCTGTTTGATTTGACCAAATCGGATATTCCTTGCGACCACCCCAGCATGCACAAAGGCCCCTTTCAAATAGCCTTGGGGAAGGCATTGAATAGCTCGAAAGCGTGGCCACACTTGCCCTTGAGATTGCAAAGCAGCTTCCAGATCCATATAATAGCCTTCCATTGCCAGTACGAACTGTTGGAAACCTGGGTCATTTTTATCATTTGTGAGACCAATGGAGGAAGATAGAGACAAGAACACGCATGGAGGGAATTCATGTTGTGGATACGGCTTTCCACTATTCCGCCTTTTCCATCAACTCTTTCTTTATGCAAGCTGGGTAAGTCCTCGTTCTTTTAAAAAAAATCCTTTTGCCCTTGATTCTGATTTTAAAAAAGTAAAGGAAGCTTGGACTAGATCATTTTGGATGTAAACATATTATACTTTGCAATATATTGATGAATTATTGCCATGAACGAATGAAAATAGAACGTTATTGCAGGGTCGAAGGTGTCGATTCCTCTGCGCAACGAAACTGCGGAGCGTGACATACCAGTACATGAAGAAATGAATGGCGGTAAGAAAAGACAGGGGATTGTAGTGGATGTCATCATTCCTGTTCACAATGCCGAAAGTACAATTAAAGAAGCCGTGTGCTCGGCAATGGATCAGTGCATACCCGAAAATCTGCTGATGGACAATTACGAAATCAGTGTGAATGTCTGTTGTTACGATGATGGCTCGCAAGATGGTAGTTCCACAATCTTAAATTCTCTGAGCGAAAAATATTCCAAAGATGAGACAGCGACAAATACCAACGAGAATCGAATTCCATCGACTCTCCTGATTGGGACTAGTTCAGACGGCAAAGGGCGCGGGGCTGGGTATGCAAGAAACAGAGCAATTGAATTGTCTTATGAGTCTTCCAGAGATGGCACCCGATTTCTGTGCCTCTTGGATAGTGACGACATCATGCATCGCCATCGAATTGCAGAACAAACACACTATATGATGAACTCTGTTTCGGAGGACGAAAGGAGTCGCACTTTACTTGGAAGTTCATTCGAAAGAGACCCTCCTGATTCGACTTGGCATTACAGCAAATGGGCAAATACACTATCACAGGATCGATTGATGCTTGAAAGATTTCGAGAAGTTACAATCTTACAGCCGACTTGGTTCATGTGTCGATCAAGATGGAAGTTACTCGGTGGCTACATAGAAGCGCCATTGTCAGGAACGGCAGCCGACCTGTTGGAGTCTGAAGCTCAATCCCAGAGGCATCGCCTCATTCACAGAAAACACGATGATCTGAAGAGCTTACGCCTGGCAGAAGACTTACGCTTCTTCCATGAGCACCTTGCAAATCATGGAAATCTTCGACGTGTGACCACGGATACACCACTTGTTACATACCGACACGATGGAAAATCCCAGAGCTATTGCACCAGTCGTAAGCTATTGCAACAACTTCGAGTTCTAGCATTTGAAAGATCGATTCTGGATTCTGATCCTCTTTGGCAAAATAATAATGGTCGATTTGTAGTATGGGGAGCCGGACGAGACGGAAAAGATTTTGTGAAAACACTGCGACCTGATTTGAGGGAACGGATCTACTGTTTCGTGGACTTGGATTCCAAAAAGCTTGAGTCTGCCATCTACTGGAACCGTGAATTGAATCTGAATATCCCAGTTGTACATTATTCTTATCTCGCAAAGGATGCATCCGTGCGGGATCGGGCACAATCGGAATGGAAAGACGGATTGGGTAGCAACCGTTTCGTTGGGTGCATTGACAAATCAAATGGTTCCAATTCACAGAAGAATTTGGATTCGGAAGCCTCATCGCGAAAACTCAAGCGTAGGAGGCTGTTGCAGATACCAACGTTGGAATCTTCAGGATTGTCCGAATCTATTCTACAAGAGCTTCCCGTAGTTGTTTGTGTGGCCATGTACAGAACGAATGGTGTACTGGAGGCAAATGTCAAGTCAATTGGTAGAACTGAAGGGGAAGATCTATGGCACTTTAGTTAAAATACCATTAGTAAAAATAGCTTTAGGATGTTGACGTGGCTGCCGATTTTTTTCATGAGCAACATTGGCTTCAATGGTAACGCCGCTATTGCATGTTCCTTCTTCTTTTTCACCAGAACTATGCTGTACTCCGAGATCAAAACAAAAGGTAGAAAATATTTTTAGTCGCTGGAAAATAGTGTTTAGCGAGTGCTGCAACCCTGCGAAGGATCCATGTAGCTATCGCTCAGGGGTGTCGTCGATGAATCATAGAGATGTTTCACTCTCGACTCCACGAGCAACTCGAGCAATTGCAGATCTGTTAGTTCACCAAGCAGGTTCTTGTCGGATAGCAAGCTCATTGCGTTAGGATTGGTGCGAACGAACCGACCAAACGCACGGCGTGTCTTTTGAAGCCTCTTGGCTATGAATCGAACCATGTCGTGATCGAAATTGACGTTCAAAACGGTCAACATGTGGGCCGGAAAATCACCGCAATTCTGCATTACAATGTCGAAGTTCTCCATGTTGTCTGAATCAGAAGTAACTTTTGCTTCCGCAATGTGAAAGGCTTTTGCGATCTCTGAAAGAGGAAAAGTTCCAATTGACAATCGTGGGAGATCCCTTGGAAGAGTGAAATTGCGAATGTTGACACTACGAGTTCCGAAATCTGCATCCATGGCCACACTTGGACAATCAGAGTTACACTTCATAGCGGGTGTTGATACGACAAATACATGCTTGTCAACAAAGAGAGAAGTCTCGTATTCGACTTGAGAATATGACTGGAGTATGCCAGTCCAATCATCATCTTCAAGCTTGCTCAATAGCCTCCTAGTATCCTGAGTAGGTAAAGGGAAGGCATTGGAACAAGGAGCGAACAGGATTGCAACGGTGGCAAAAGCTAGGACGAAGTTCATCACCTCAGCGCAAAACTAACAGCTCGTCAATGAAAAGTTACCCTCATATCGTTCAGTCATGGCACTTCGATATTTTTAATCTCACGCTTTTTCGAGTTCCGCTGTTTCTGAGTTGAGAACATACATACGTTATACCTTGCACTTTTTGCACTTCTTCTCATTGGAATGACCTTTTGAGTGTTCTCATGGTCGGGATGCTACAGTACTGTAGGTCGCAAGATCAATTTCGAAGGCCCGAAGAAACATTAGTACTGTCTTGCGTTAAATCCGTTTCGTTTTTTGCAGGAGGCCTCGTGCGGTGCGCCCTGTTTTTGAAGAACTTCGGTGACGACTGATGATTTTTGCACATTGTAATGCACTGGTACCACTTCCGGTACGAGTGTACTGCAGAAATAAAAGAGACCAAAAAAGATACCGATGCAGTACTGTACTGTAGGTCGTAAGATCAATTTCGAAGTCATGTAGAAACATTAGTATTGCATACTTTTTTGAATCTTGCGTTTCGTTTTTTGGAGGAGTCCTTGGTGTTTGAACTTCGGTGATAACTTCTGCACGAAGTAATGCGTACTGGTACCTGCGGTGGTAGGTACAACTGCACGGTGATGTAGAAATAAAAGGCACTAAAAAAGATGTGCTTCGACACTCAAAAATTGCATTTGTTGAAGGTCGGATGACGAAGTTCTTAGCTACTGCCTTCATTGCAACCCTTTTTGCGCCTGGCATTGAGGCCTTTGTAACTAAATGCAACAAACATAATGTACGGCGAGGGCTACTGAGCAAGCTTGAAGATGATGGTTTGGCCGGTATCCTTCAGTCCTGTTCCGATATTGAATATGAGACTTCTCTCTTTGTTGACGGACATGTCTTCGTGGTTTCAACCCCAGCAATCTTAGAAGACAATAATTCTGATTGTCCAAGCGTAGCCATGGAGCAAAGTGATCGCCTTGCGAAGCCGACTGACGCTGATTTCGGAATTCGTACCGTCAATATCCATAACGTCACCCTCGCAAGGGATCTTCCAGGTCTCCCGATTGGAACTTTCCCCCTTTCAGAGATCGCGAACGCATTCCACACTGTGCAAGCCGAAGTTGCTTCTGATCCAGACAGCATGAAGAACTACGATTATATCTTGCAGAACTGCGGTGACTTTCCAGCTCACATGTTGACCCTTTTGAATGTTGCTTTCGACCATCAAATGGTTCAATTCATTGCCAAACAGCTACAAAAGAGACACCCTACCTTCGTTCAGAACGTACGCAATAGTCCAAACGCAATGAAGTTGTTGGCCGACAAGACCACGCTTGATGTGCTCACAGATCTACAATTGCTCGAGCTGCTCGTTGAGTCAAGAGTGAAGCATCTCTATGATTCCTCAACGACACAGCTTCTTGACAGCTACAGTGATCCGTCTCAGGAGCATAGCCACAGATCCCTTTCAAAAGTAGATAATGAACCAGCTGCTGACCGTAGGCGCCTTGGCGAGGTCGATTGCGGTCGTTGGTACTCGTCGAGTTGTCTTGCAGAAAGCGATATTCGCTACGATCGTTCCGCTTCAAACGCCATTGCCGACCAGAATCCTGCTTGGAAAAAGTTTGAAGGGTTCTACGAAGGAACAGCAACAGCATATGGTCCTGATGGGCGAGTCATTGAACCATTCTATCTTGAGGAAGGTGCAACTAGTTTTGCCCCAAGTAAAATGCCATATTCTCAAGCCAAATTCAAAATGTTCATCAACATCACGTTGACTGGCTCGAGAATATACGAACAAATGACTTCAGTCTTCCCTCCCTCGCCAGCATCCTTCTGCAATCAATCCGTGCCGGAAGGAATGCAGAATGTGATTTTGCCAGGCGAATGCGGCTTGAATGGTACCTCTGGTTTTTATGAACGCTTTGGAACAAGTACCTTCGAGAAGGACGGAAGAGTTTCGATGTTGTCCTTCGGTTCTACCATGTCAGGCTCCAGCCTTGATCGCAAGTCCTACGTCAGTCTTCCTGCCGGTGAAAGCAATCACTTCTCGAGCTACTTGGAAGGTGATATTCTTGTCCAGTACGCCTCTGCATGTCTTGATGCAGAATGCAGCCAACTATCCACTACCATCGATCAGTATGACACGTCTACTCCGGAAGGCGAAGAGTACGAATTTGTGGCTTCGACACGCATTTTCGCCACCCGCATCGCATCATCTAGGCAGTTCCGTGATGCACTCGGAGCAGCCTACCTCGAATACGATGTGCCGTCTGATCAAAGACCATCTGAAGATGGATGTCTGTCTGGCTACTGTCCTCATGAAAGCGATTGGTGCGAATACGATCCCGAGTGTGGCGTGTCCCCGTATCAAGAACCAGAAGCGTACGTCTTGGCCGGACCAGTCGTTGGTATCGTGGTTGCCATCACGGCGGTCATATTCCTTGCTTTGTTCGCTCTGCACAGACGTCAAATGAAGCAAAAGGAGGCTGTTGTGCGCACCATGTTTGCGAATCGCGTTGCGGAGGGCATCACCATCACTGGCAGCTCTGATGTTCTGTCACCGGATCAATTGGTCGCCGAGTTCAACAAGATCGACAAGGATAAGGGAGGAACCCTCGAGAAAGGAGAGCTTTGGGCGTTCTTGGAGTCCGGCAAGGTTGGTAGTATGAGCCGAAGTGACTTTGATTTGCTGTTCTCCGTGATTGATATTGATAAGAGCGGTAATGTCGACTTCAACGAGTTTGTTGCCTTCTATTCCCATGCGATGGCAAATGTGGCCCCAAGGTAGGCTCAGTTAAAGTTACTTTAAGCTATTGTTTTTCGTGATTGATATGGGTAGGAGTGGAAGCGTCGATTTCGACGACTTTGTCGGCTGCTTTGCCAGCGCGATGACAAAAGAATTTAAGTCTCTCTTGTAGTATGTGGGGCCCGACGAGAGGGAAACGATTTTGTTTAGGGAACGCATCTGCTGTTTCTTGGACTTGGTTTGAGGGAACGCAACTACTATTTCTTGGACTTTGTGAGAACACTGCGACCTGATTTGAGGAAACGGATCTGCTGTTTCGTGGACTTGGATTACAAAAAGCTTGAGTCTACCATCTACTGGAACCGTGATTTGAATCTGAATATGCGGGATCGGGCACAATCGGAATGGAAAGACGGATTGGGTAGCAACCGTTTCGTTGGGTGAATTGAGAAATCAAATGGTTCCAAAGCACAAAATAATTTGGATTCGGAAGCCTCATCGCGAAAACTCAAGCGTAGGAGGCTGTTGCAGACACCAAAGTTGGAATCTTCAGGATTGTCCGAACCTATTCTACAAGAGCTTCCCGTAGTTGTTTGTGTGGCCATGTACAGAACGAATGGTGTACTGGAGGCAAATTTCAAGTCAATTGGTAGAACTGAAGGGGAAGATCTATGGCACTTTAGTTAAAATACCATTAGTAAAAATAGCTTTAGGATGTTGACGTGGCTGCCGATTTTTTTCATGAGCAACATTGGCTTCAATGGTAACGCCGCTATTGCATGTTCCTTCTTCTTTTTCACCAGAACTATGCTGTACTCCGAGATCAAAACAAAAGGTAGAAAATATTTTTAGTCGCTGGAAAATAGTGTTTAGCGAGTGCTGCAACCCTGCGAAGGATCCATGTAGCTATCGCTCAGGGGTGTCGTCGATGAATCATAGAGATGTTTCACTCTCGACTCCACGAGCAACTCGAGCAATTGCAGATCTGTTAGTTCACCAAGCAGGTTCTTGTCGGATAGCAAGCTCATTGCGTTAGGATTGGTGCGAACGAACCGACCAAACGCACGGCGTGTCTTTTGAAGCCTCTTGGCTATGAATCGAACCATGTCGTGATCGAAATTGACGTTCAAAACGGTCAACATGTGGGCCGGAAAATCACCGCAATTCTGCATTACAATGTCGAAGTTCTCCATGTTGTCTGAATCAGAAGTAACTTTTGCTTCCGCAATGTGAAAGGCTTTTGCGATCTCTGAAAGAGGAAAAGTTCCAATTGACAATCGTGGGAGATCCCTTGGAAGAGTGAAATTGCGAATGTTGACACTACGAGTTCCGAAATCTGCATCCATGGCCACACTTGGACAATCAGAGTTACACTTCATAGCGGGTGTTGATACGACAAATACATGCTTGTCAACAAAGAGAGAAGTCTCGTATTCGACTTGAGAATATGACTGGAGTATGCCAGTCCAATCATCATCTTCAAGCTTGCTCAATAGCCTCCTAGTATCCTGAGTAGGTAAAGGGAAGGCATTGGAACAAGGAGCGAACAGGATTGCAACGGTGGCAAAAGCTAGGACGAAGTTCATCACCTCAGCGCAAAACTAACAGCTCGTCAATGAAAAGTTACCCTCATATCGTTCAGTCATGGCACTTCGATATTTTTAATCTCACGCTTTTTCGAGTTCCGCTGTTTCTGAGTTGAGAACATACATACGTTATACCTTGCACTTTTTGCACTTCTTCTCATTGGAATGACCTTTTGAGTGTTCTCATGGTCGGGATGCTACAGTACTGTAGGTCGCAAGATCAATTTCGAAGGCCCGAAGAAACATTAGTACTGTCTTGCGTTAAATCCGTTTCGTTTTTTGCAGGAGGCCTCGTGCGGTGCGCCCTGTTTTTGAAGAACTTCGGTGACGACTGATGATTTTTGCACATTGTAATGCACTGGTACCACTTCCGGTACGAGTGTACTGCAGAAATAAAAGAGACCAAAAAAGATACCGATGCAGTACTGTACTGTAGGTCGTAAGATCAATTTCGAAGTCATGTAGAAACATTAGTATTGCATACTTTTTTGAATCTTGCGTTTCGTTTTTTGGAGGAGTCCTTGGTGTTTGAACTTCGGTGATAACTTCTGCACGAAGTAATGCGTACTGGTACCTGCGGTGGTAGGTACAACTGCACGGTGATGTAGAAATAAAAGGCACTAAAAAAGATGTGCTTCGACACTCAAAAATTGCATTTGTTGAAGGTCGGATGACGAAGTTCTTAGCTACTGCCTTCATTGCAACCCTTTTTGCGCCTGGCATTGAGGCCTTTGTAACTAAATGCAACAAACATAATGTACGGCGAGGGCTACTGAGCAAGCTTGAAGATGATGGTTTGGCCGGTATCCTTCAGTCCTGTTCCGATATTGAATATGAGACTTCTCTCTTTGTTGACGGACATGTCTTCGTGGTTTCAACCCCAGCAATCTTAGAAGACAATAATTCTGATTGTCCAAGCGTAGCCATGGAGCAAAGTGATCGCCTTGCGAAGCCGACTGACGCTGATTTCGGAATTCGTACCGTCAATATCCATAACGTCACCCTCGCAAGGGATCTTCCAGGTCTCCCGATTGGAACTTTCCCCCTTTCAGAGATCGCGAACGCATTCCACACTGTGCAAGCCGAAGTTGCTTCTGATCCAGACAGCATGAAGAACTACGATTATATCTTGCAGAACTGCGGTGACTTTCCAGCTCACATGTTGACCCTTTTGAATGTTGCTTTCGACCATCAAATGGTTCAATTCATTGCCAAACAGCTACAAAAGAGACACCCTACCTTCGTTCAGAACGTACGCAATAGTCCAAACGCAATGAAGTTGTTGGCCGACAAGACCACGCTTGATGTGCTCACAGATCTACAATTGCTCGAGCTGCTCGTTGAGTCAAGAGTGAAGCATCTCTATGATTCCTCAACGACACAGCTTCTTGACAGCTACAGTGATCCGTCTCAGGAGCATAGCCACAGATCCCTTTCAAAAGTAGATAATGAACCAGCTGCTGACCGTAGGCGCCTTGGCGAGGTCGATTGCGGTCGTTGGTACTCGTCGAGTTGTCTTGCAGAAAGCGATATTCGCTACGATCGTTCCGCTTCAAACGCCATTGCCGACCAGAATCCTGCTTGGAAAAAGTTTGAAGGGTTCTACGAAGGAACAGCAACAGCATATGGTCCTGATGGGCGAGTCATTGAACCATTCTATCTTGAGGAAGGTGCAACTAGTTTTGCCCCAAGTAAAATGCCATATTCTCAAGCCAAATTCAAAATGTTCATCAACATCACGTTGACTGGCTCGAGAATATACGAACAAATGACTTCAGTCTTCCCTCCCTCGCCAGCATCCTTCTGCAATCAATCCGTGCCGGAAGGAATGCAGAATGTGATTTTGCCAGGCGAATGCGGCTTGAATGGTACCTCTGGTTTTTATGAACGCTTTGGAACAAGTACCTTCGAGAAGGACGGAAGAGTTTCGATGTTGTCCTTCGGTTCTACCATGTCAGGCTCCAGCCTTGATCGCAAGTCCTACGTCAGTCTTCCTGCCGGTGAAAGCAATCACTTCTCGAGCTACTTGGAAGGTGATATTCTTGTCCAGTACGCCTCTGCATGTCTTGATGCAGAATGCAGCCAACTATCCACTACCATCGATCAGTATGACACGTCTACTCCGGAAGGCGAAGAGTACGAATTTGTGGCTTCGACACGCATTTTCGCCACCCGCATCGCATCATCTAGGCAGTTCCGTGATGCACTCGGAGCAGCCTACCTCGAATACGATGTGCCGTCTGATCAAAGACCATCTGAAGATGGATGTCTGTCTGGCTACTGTCCTCATGAAAGCGATTGGTGCGAATACGATCCCGAGTGTGGCGTGTCCCCGTATCAAGAACCAGAAGCGTACGTCTTGGCCGGACCAGTCGTTGGTATCGTGGTTGCCATCACGGCGGTCATATTCCTTGCTTTGTTCGCTCTGCACAGACGTCAAATGAAGCAAAAGGAGGCTGTTGTGCGCACCATGTTTGCGAATCGCGTTGCGGAGGGCATCACCATCACTGGCAGCTCTGATGTTCTGTCACCGGATCAATTGGTCGCCGAGTTCAACAAGATCGACAAGGATAAGGGAGGAACCCTCGAGAAAGGAGAGCTTTGGGCGTTCTTGGAGTCCGGCAAGGTTGGTAGTATGAGCCGAAGTGACTTTGATTTGCTGTTCTCCGTGATTGATATTGATAAGAGCGGTAATGTCGACTTCAACGAGTTTGTTGCCTTCTATTCCCATGCGATGGCAAATGTGGCCC